CATGCTTCCTGTTAATCCTGTGGAAGTGTGAATCAGCTAAACCTCTTTTCTTCATAAATTATGCAGTCTCAGGTTGTTCTTTATAGCACTGTGAGAATGAACTAACATCATCTCATTCCCCATTTCCAATGGTAACCAAAAAAATTAAAATTGCACATAAACATTGAGAGTCTGATCTGTACTAGATCTCATGCCAGTCACCTTCATATGTGCTTATTTAAGCTTTCCAGAAACCTGAGATGCAAATTTTTTTTTTTTTTTTTTTTTTTTTTTTTTTTTGAGACGGAGTTTCGCTCTTGTTACCCAGGCTGGAGTGCAATGGCGCGATCTCGGCTCACCGCAACCTCTGCCTCCTGGGTTCAGGCAATTCTCCTGCCTCAGCCTCCTGAGCAGCTGGGATCACAGGCATGTGCCACCATGCCCAGCTAATTTCCTGCATTTTTAGTAGAGACGGGGTTTCACCATGTTGACCAGGATGGTCTTGATCTCTCGACCTCGTGATCCACCCGCCTCGGCCTCCCAAAGTGCTGGGATTACAGGCTTGAGCCACCGCGCCCGGCCGAGATGCAAATATTAAGTCTAACCATTTTTACAGATGAGGAATTTGAATCTCAAAGATGATGTAGACCAAGCATCCTTGGAACTTTGGTGGAACATGCCTGTAATCCCAACACTCTGGGAAGCGGAGACAGAAGGATTGCTTGAGCCCAGGAGTTTGAGATCAGTCTGGGCAACAAAGTAAGACCCTGTCTCTACACAAAATCAAAAAAATCTGCCACACATGGTGGTGTGTGCCTATAATCCCAACTACTCAGGAGGCTGAGGTGGGAGAGTCGCTTGAGCCCAGGAGTTTGAGGCTGCAGATGATCTATGATCACAACACTGTACTCCAGCCTGGGAATCAAAGTCAGACCCTGTCTCAGGAAAAAAAAAGAAAAAAAAAGAGAGAGAGAGAGGGGAGGAGAGGGGAGGGGAGGGAAGGGGAGGGAAGGGAAGCTGCAAATTGCTTAAGAATACACAGCTCATCAGCAATAATTATCCTAGGCTTTGATCACAGATCTGTCCATGCATTTCTTACCATATCCCACTGTCAAGTCTTGCTAGTCTATCTCCCTGGCATTACTTAGAACACCCTCTTCCTTCTTTTCCAAGATAAGGAGCTACTCTAGTTCAAGCTCTCTTCCAGTCTCTCGTTCCCGTAAGTCATCCTCCATAGTATTAACAGAATTTGTTTTCTGAACCACAAATCTGTTCACAACAGTATCCTGCTTTAAGAACTTCAATACCTCCCTACAAAATGAAGTGCAAATCCCCTGTGTAGCATGGCATCTAAGGAAGGTGTCTACTTTCTTGGAGGCCTTTTATTTCTCACCCTACACTGTCTGCTTTATTCTCTCCAGACCTCTTGGTAATACTGTGCGACCCGCAGAGACCCTTCCCAAAGCAAATGAGAGCGAGGAGTTGTTAAGCCGAGTCCAGGTTTATTGGGATCTGCGGGCAACCCAGGCGGGAGGGGAGCTGAGCTGCACCCAGCAGCTGCCGGAGAGGGTTTTTATAGGGGCGGCGGCCTGTTTAGGCGAGGTGTTGCGGAGCGATTGGTGGAAGGGAGAGCAGAGGAGGGTTTTCTGCGTGCCAGAAGGGGATTGGTCACCTCTTGGCGGGCTTAGGTTTGAATTTTATTGGCTGTCTTGTTTCTAGGCAGACTACTGCAACTGCCAAGGGGTGGGGGATGGGGGTTGGCTTTAGGTTTGGCGGGTTAAGGCTGAGCAGTGATTGGTCGCCCTGCGCTACCAGGCAGAATAGGGTCTGCAGGCGGACTCCAGGAAGTGAGGGACAAAATGGAGGACTGTGGGTTTTTCTACCAAACAAATACCTTGTCCTTTCATATTCCCACTGCTTCCTCTTGCTGTTCCCTCTGCCAAGAACTGCTTCCCTCCATTATCTCCCTTAGTGAGCTCCTACTCAGCTTTCATGAACGTGCTTCAGTGCCACACTTCCTCTAGAAACCATCTCCAATCTCTCCAGGGAAAAGTAGTTGTCCCTCTTTTGAATTAACATAGCACTTTGTTCAAATGACTAATACAGCATCCATGACATTGTGTATGTTGAGAGAAACTAATTAAAAGAGCAAATAATTTTTTCAGTCTGCCATTTTATCTGGCTTCCTCCATTCCCTTTTTGCTCTGTGGTCTAGAAATCTCTTCCTCAATTCCTTTTCCACAGTGAATGATTATCTGGAATCATTTGCATTTTTGGCTGTGAGTTTCTCATGGCTTAGAGCAGACTTCCGGGAGGAAATAACTACTTAGATGACTATTTTTACACGGTGAGCAAGTTAGGCAACGCAAATGAAGAAGGCAATGACGGGTCAAGGAAACAGAATAAGCTGTCTCTTCTTGGCATGGAGGCAGGAAACAGTATGCTGGATGTTGGCCCAGGAACCTTTAGCAAGTAGGTAATATGAGAACCTGGAGTTGGAGGCCACGTTAAGAGATAAGACTGGAGAAGTAGGTAGAAGTCACGTAATGAGAGACTTCTATGAAATACAAGAGGGAATTGAGTAATGGAAAGGCACTGAGAGAGTTTCAAGGAGAGGAGATGGTCAGATTTTTCAGCATGGTACATGATAAATATCAGAATTTTATTCTGGTCGCTTATTGCTCCTAACAAAACAGTGACTTAAAACAATCATTTTATTATGTCATACATATTTTTGAGTCAGTGGTTTGGGAAGAATTCAGTTAGGCAGTTCTTCTGCTCTATGTAGCATTGACTGGGGTTAGTTAGTATTATTCATCTGGTGGCTGGTCTGTCTGGAAGTTCCAGGATGGCTTTACTCACATGCCAAGTTCCTGGGTTGGGTCACTAGGGAGACTGGGATCAGCTGCGCCACTCTCTCTCTCCCTGCAGTCTCAGCTCTCTATAAACAGTCTAACAAGGTAGATGGTCTTCATACACAGTGACTCAGGACTTTCACAGACCAAGGTGAAAACTCCTCTTAAAAGCTAGATCCTGAGCAAGTCTGCCTAAATTCAGGATGAAAGGAAATAGCTCTCAAATCTCTCTATAGATGAGTATTGAAGAATTTGTGGCCATTTTTAATCTGCCACAAGGTATGATGATGTAGAATTGAAGGTAGAGAGAGGGAACTGAGCTCTTACAATGCCTAGTTTCTGAGGTATTCATGTATGAGTACTTCCAGAATATTCTCTTAACATCTTCCTTATAGCACTGTGACATGGCTATGTTGGTTATGTATCTATCTCTCTCATTAGACTTTTGAGGTCCTCAATGAGGACAACATGTGTGTCTTCCTTAGATTCATACCTCAGTCCCTGGCACATAGTTGATGCTCAATACTTATTGAATGAATAAATTGAATACATTAGAATGGTTGGATCACATCTTCATGACACAAGAGCAGCTGCTGCTTGATGTAATTTCCTTTTCCAGATTAATATCTTCTTCTTCTTTTTTTTTTTTAAGATGGGGTTTCACTCTGTTGGTCAGGCTGGTCTTGAACTCCTGATCTCAGGTGATTCGCCCACCTTGGCCTCCAAAGTGCTTGGATTACAGGTGTGAGCCACCATGCCCGGCCCAGATTCATATCTTCTTATGAACTTAAGAAAATCTTGATTTAAATGTGTAGAAATAATATCCATTATAAATATGAATAGTTTTTAACTTTTCCCTGCTGTATCAGTTTTCCACTACATAACAAATTATCACATACTTGGCAGCTTGAAATAACTACACATTTATTATCTCAGTTTCTGTGGTCAGGAGTCTAGGCACAACATAGCTGGTTTCTCTGCTTCAGTTCTCACAAGGCTGCAAACAAATTGTTGGCTGAGGATGCTGTCTTATCTGAGGCTTGACTGGGGAAGGATCTGCTTTTGTTGGCAAAATTCAGTTCCTTAAGGTTGTAGGATTGAGAGATTCCATTTCTTGCTAGCTGTTGGCAGAGGCTGCCCTCAGTTCTTTAACATGTGGGTCTCTCCATATTGAAGCTCAAACATGGCAGCTTGATTTTTCAGAGCCGCAAGAGAATGAGAGACACTAGCAAGATGGGCACTATCACACAACCTGACGATATATATCCCTTCATACTTGAAAGGAGGAAATCACACAAGAAAAACCAAGAAGCAGGAGGTCATAGTGTTTCCTCTAAGAGTCTATCTTTCATCTATCCTTACATATCCTGTGAAGAATCAGAGGGGACAATTTTCAGAAAATTCCAGCCCTCTCAGGAAGTATATCCATTTTATTTTTGCTTTTCAGTATGGACTGCCTTCCTCTCTTAGGGAGACAGATACACATTTACCTAAACCATTATTTAATATAGTAAGTGCTTTATCTTTCTCCAGATCCTATACAGGGGGTTGAGAATTCTTAGCTATACAAGATCACACAATATATTTTTTTTGAAATTCATGTTGGTCCTTTTTTTATCTATTTGGTTTTAGTATAAGTATCAGACTTGCAACCAAGGAAACTATTTTGTAACTGCAGAATATTCTTTCCAGGAAGATTGGTGAAAGGAGAGTCAACAAAGGAAAGCCCTTGCTTCTCAAACTCCCCATGATAATATTCTGAAGCAAGTATGGTCCATTCCAAAGCCACAGTCCCAATACCTGACTTCCTTATCCTATGTATGTGTCTGGGAATAAGATGTACCTAACTGTTGCTCATGTGTCTGCATCAGCCTTTCCTTCTCTGAAGCCAAGCTTCTCTCTGAAACAGAATAACTCAAGATCATTGACCAGCCCACAGCTATTTGATCAGGGTTTTCCCTAGAAGGCTAGAGGATGGAGATCTCTGAGCTAGATCCCTTCCTCTGCGTTTAATCTTCACCGAGCAGTACTTATATCACTTTAAACTCTCTTGGCTTAGTATATTAATTCAAATAAAATATTAGGTTGGTGCAAAATTGTGGTTTTCACCATTAAAAGTAATGGCAGAAATGACTTTTGCGCAAAATATTAAGACACAAGTGTCACATTCTTTGTAGTTCATAAGCCTGATGATTGGGTTTTCATGTGCATATGTGAGATGTGCCTCCCTCAAACTTTGTTACAGTGTTGGAACATTTCCCATCTGATGTGAAAAAAAAATTTTCCATTAACTTTTCAAGTTTCCGGTGGGGCATGGTGGCTCAGCCCATAATCTCAGCACTTTGGGAGGCCAAGGCAGGCAGATTACCTGAGGTTCGGAGTAACCAGCCTGACCAACATGGAAAAACCTGTCTCTGCTACAAATACAAAATTAGCTGGGTGTGGTGGCGCATGCCCATAATCCAAACTATTCAGGAGCTGAGGCAGGAGAATCACTTGAACCTGGGAGATGAAGGTTGCGGTAAGCCGAAATCACTCTATTGCACTCTAGCCTGGGCAAAAAGAGCAAAACTCCATCTCAAAAAACAAACAAACAGGCCGGGCACGGTGTCTCATGCCTGTAATACCAGCGCTTTGGGAGGCTGAGGTGTGTGGATCACCTAAGGTCAGGAGTTTGAGACCACCCTGGCCAACATGGAGAAACCCCATCTCTACTATAAATACAAAAATATTAGCTGGGCATTGTGGCAGTCGCCTGTAATCCCAGCTACTCAGGAGGCTGAGGCAAGAGAATTGCTTAAACTTGGGAGTTGGAGGTTGTAGTGAACTGGGATTGTGCCCTTGCACTCCAGCGTGGTAACAGAGCAGGACTCTGTCTCAAACAAACTTTTCAAGTTTCCATAAAACTGACATTAGAATACTGGTCAGCTATGGCTTTCCAATAACTGGATGGGAGGAGGGGTTGTTTGGGGTACTGGTCATTTTCTGTTTCTTCTTTTTTTTTTTTTTTTTTTGAGACGGAGTTTCGCTCTTGTTACTCAGGCTGGAGTGCAATGGCGCGATCTCGGCTCACCGCAACCTCCGCCTCCTGGGTTCAGGCAATTCTCCTGCCTCAGCCTCCTGAGTAGCTGGGATTACAGGCACACGCCACCATGCCCAGCTAATTTTTTGTATTTTTAGTAGAGACGGGGTTTCACCATGTTGGCCAGGATGGTCTCGATCTCTTGACCTCGTGATCCACCCGCCTCGGCCTCCCAAAGTGCTGGGATTACAGGCTTGAGCCACCGCGCCCGGCCTGTTTCTTCTTTTTTGAGACAGAGTCTTGCTCTGTTGCCAGTCTTGAGTGCAGTGGCGCAATCTCGGCTCACTGCAACCTCCACCCGCTGGGATCAAGCAATTCTACTGCCTCAGCCTCTCGAGTAGCTGGGACTACAGGCTCACACCACCTCACTCAGCTAATTTTTGTATTTTTAGTAGAGACAGGGTTTCCCCATGTTGGCCAGGATGGTCTCGATCTCTTGACCTTGTGATCCACACATCTCAGCCTCCCCAAGTGCTAGGATTACAGGCATGAGCCACCACGCCCAGTCCATTTTCTGTTACTTTATTATTTTTTTAGATGGAGTCTTGCTCTGTCACCCAGGCTGGAGTGTAGTGACACCATCTTGGCTCAGGGCAACCTCTGCCTCTCGGATTCAAGCCATTCTCCTGCTTTGGCCTTCCAAGTAGCTGGGATTATAGGTGCCCACCACCACACCTGGCTAATTTTCTTTTTTTTTTTTTTTTGAGATGGAGTCTTGCTTTGTAGTCCAGGTTGGAGTGCAGTGGCACTCCGTCTCCCAGGTTCCAGTGATTCTCCTTCCTTAGCCTCTCGAGTAGCTGGAATTATAGGCACACGCCACCCCCTCCCCCGCACCCCACTCCTTCCCCCCCACCCCACCCCCTCCCACCCCCGCCCCGGCTAATTTTTGTATTTTTAATAGAGACAGAGCTGGTCTCGAACTCCTGACCATGTGATTCACCCACCTCGGCCTCCCAAAGTGCTGGGATTACAGATGTAAGCCATAATGCCCGGCCTTCTCTTTCTTGATGTAGATGATAAACATAGGTGTATTCAGTTTGTCAAAAATTTTCAGGCTGTACTCTTCTAGTACATTTCTGAATACACATTATTTTTCTTTTTTTTCTCTCTCCCTCCCCTACACATTATTTTTCAAAAAATTTTTTGAAATAGCAGTCTTAATGGTTCTGAGTTTTATTGCCATGAAATAAATTTCTCCTATCTTCGTTTGGAAATTTAAGTTCATTTTTCACTCTCAGCTCATTTTGTTAAGTGAATGACAATCTAGCTTAACATGCTTCATTTTTAGACATTTAATTAGTTATTTTTAATCTTGGTGAATTAGGTGCTATCAGGTTGCAAAGGTTTTAACACATGCAGAGGATCTGTCCTTAACTCACCACTGATTTAATATTTAATTTTTAAACATTTTGAAGACATTTAGTGCTATTAATGAAAAGTATGAAATTAGGAGACTAAACTTATTAGTAATGCCAAGAACAGAGGAGGAGGAATTAACCTTTTAAAAGGAAAGGGGGCCGGGCATGGTGGCTTAAGCCTGTAATTCCAGCACTTTGGGAGGCCAAGGCAGGTGGATCACCTGAGGTTGGGAGTTTGAAACCAGCCTGGCCAACAGGGAGAAACCCCATCTCTATTGAAAATACAAAATTAGCAGGGCATGGTAGTGCATGCCTATAATCCCAGCTACTCGGGAGGCTGAGGCAGGAGAATCGTTTGAACCCGGGAGGCAGAGGTTGCAGTGAGCCGTGATTGTGCCATTACTCTCCAGCCTCAGCAACAAGAGCAAAAACTCCATCTCAGTAAAAGGGGAGGGGGTACGGGTGCGGTTGCTCACACCTGTAAGCCCAGCACTTTGGGAGGCTGAGGTGGGCAGATCACCTGAGGTTGGGAGTTTGAGACCTTCCTGGCTAACATGGTGAAACCGGGTCTCTACTAAAAATAGAAAAAAATTAGCTGGGCATGGGGGTGGTGTGGCTGTAGGCCCAGCTACTTGGGAGGCTGAGGCAGGAGAATTGCTTGAACCTGGGAGGTGGAAGTTTGGGTGAGCTGAGATCGTGCACTCCACTGCACTCCAGCCTGGGTAACAGAGTGAGACTCTGTCTCAAAAATAAATAAAGAAAAATAAAAGGGGCCTTCCTTCCTCTGAGGAACAGTGCAAAGAGAAGGAAGATATAGATATATTTGTCTCCTAAGTTGGAAAGTTAAGGATGCTCACAAATGATGGTCTCGATTTTTCCATGGAATAGTAAAACAAAATTGTGTACTAAAAATAAATCTTAGGGTGTGGCTGATACCTCAAGGAAAAAGGAAATTGTTAGGAAATGGCCTGATAAGGTAAACATAAGTGAAGGTCAAGAGAATTGAAGATATTAGAGAGAGTGCAGTTAAAATGGTTGATAAAAGGGTTCTTGGCAGGGCGCGGTGGCTCAAGCCTGTAATCCCAGCACTTTGGGAGGCCGAGGCGGGTGGATCACGAGGTCAAGAGATCGAGACCATCCTGGTCAACAAGGTGAAACCCCGTCTCTACTGAAAATACAAAAAGTTAGCTGGGCATGGTGGTGTGTGCCTGTAATCCCAGCTACTCAGGAGGCTGAGGCAGGAGAATTGCTTGAACCCAGGAGGCGGAGGTTGTGGTGAGCCAAGATCGTGCCACTGCACTCCAGCCTGGGTAACAAGAGTGAAACTCCGTCTCATTAAAAAAAAAAAAAAAAAAAAAAAAAAGGTTCTTGGCTGGACAGTGGCTCACGCCTGTAATCCCAACACTTTGGGAGGCCAAGGTGGGCGGAACACCTGAGGTTGGGAATTCAGGAAATCGAGTCCAGCCTGATCAACATGTAGAAACCCTGTGTCTACTAATAATACAAAAATTAGCCAGGCGTGGTGGCGCATGCCTGTAATCCCAGCTACTCAGGAGGCTGAGGCTTGAGATAAAAGGATAGGAAACGGGTTATAAACTATGAGTAGAAAGACTAGCTGTCACAGTGAGGACAAATTGCAGATTCAATGGAAGTGACCACAAAATAGAGGTAGAGGGGGGTAGGGGTCTGTAGGTACAGAGAGGGAAACTCACAATCCAACATTTTGAAGGGGAAGTAATTTCATCAATGACTAGGTTGAAGGTGTGGCTCCATCTGTGAGTTGCTGATACAGAGTGAAGTTGAACGTGATTGGAAAATAAAAGGATGATAAATTATGAGGTCAGAGTACTAATGAGTCATGAACATGGATGCTGAAGTCATTAAGTTGATGCAGAACATGAGGATAATTCCATGGCTGACACAGAGTTTCAGAAACATAACTGGGCAGAGACAAAGAAGTAAAGGGATATCCTACTGAGGGCCAGATTTAAAGAAATAGAAATGTGGCCGGGCGCGGTGGCTCAAGCCTGTAATCCCAGCACTTTGGGAGGCCGAGGCGGGTGGATCACAAGGTCGAGAGATCGAGACCATCCTGGTCAACATGGTGAAACCCCGTCTCTACTAAAAATACAAAAAAATTAGCTGGGCATGGTGGCACGTGCCTGTAATCCCACCTACTCAGGAGGCTGAGGCAGGAGAATTGCCTGAGCCCAGGAGGCGGAGGTTGCGGTGAGCCGAGATCGCGCCATTGCACTCCAGCCTGGGTAACAAGAGCGAAACTCCGTCTCAAAAAAAAAAAAAAAAAAAAAAAGAAATAGAAATGTAGGCAAACTTTGTCTTTGACATTTATCACCTTTGTTCCATGGCATGATTTCCTAAGCTTTGCTCACTTACTCCCAGGTAATTTCGGTGCCTTCATGTTACCCTCTCACTGTACAGGTTCCCCAATCTCTGCTATTTTTTTTCTTTTTTTTGAAAGGGAGTCTTTGTTACCTAGGCTGGAGTGCAGTGGCATGGATCTTGCTTTAGTACAACCTCTGCCTCCTGGGTTCAAGTGATTCTCGTACCTCAGCCTCTGGAGTAACTGGGATTACAGGCACCCACCACCATGCCTGGCTAATTTTTGTATTTTTAGTAGAGTCGGGGTTTCGCCATGTTGGCCAGGCTGGTCTCAACCTCCTGGCCTCAAGTGATCTGCCCGCCTCAGCCTCCCAAAGTGCTGAGATTAAAGGTATAAGCCACTGCTGCCTGGCCTGTTCTTGACACATCTAAAATCCCAAATAGTCCCAGGACATTAATGGAGAGTTCTCCATTAGTATGTCACTTTCC